TTCAACATACTTAGTTACCAGGGACTTGCAAATCAAAACCAAGTGAGATATCACTTCGTACCCACTGTGATCCTATAATGAAAAAGACAATAACAAGTATAGTCAAGGATGTGGAGACATTGGACCCCTCACATATTGGTGGTGGGTATATAAAATGATGCAGGCACATTGGGAAACAGTTTGACAATTCCTTAAGAAGTTAAACATAAAGTTACCATACAATCCAAAAATTTCATTCCTGTCCTGTCCAGCCAAGATGGAGGCATAGGTAGATACATTTTGCCTCCTTACACAACCAAAAACAGGACAACAACAAATTTAAAAACAAAAAATAACCAGAACTGCCAGAAAATCGAACTGTGTGAAAGCCCAACAACCAAAGAGTTAAAGAAGAAACATTCATCCAGACTGTAGGAGGGGTGGAGACAGGCAGCAGAGGCAGAGCGGAAGTGTGGCAAGACCACAGGTGGAGGACCAGGCAGTCCCATGTGTGCTTGTGGATAACCAGGAGAAATAACTGGGGAGCAAGACAGACCGCACAAAACAGAGTTCCAGCTAAGGGAAATAAAGCCTCAAAACCTCTGACTGTAAAGTTCTGTGGGGGTTGCAGCAGTGGGAGAAACTCCCAGACTCACAGGAAAATTCGCTGGAGAGACCCACAGGGTCCTAAAATGTATGCAAACCCACCCACCCAGGAATCAGCACCAAAATGGCCCACTTTGCTTATGCTTAGCAGGGGAAGTGACTGAAAACCTGGTCGAGAGCCAAACAAGTGGCAATGTTCCCTCTCTGACCCCTTCCCCACATACAGTGCCACAAAGTAGTGATGTGGATTGTCCCATCCTGGTAAATACCTAAGGCTCTGCCCCTTACTATGTAAAAAGCATGCTGAGACAAAAAATATATAGCTTAAATGAAAGAACAGATCAAAGCTCAAAAAATAGAACTAAGTGATGAAGAGATAGCCAACCTATCAGGTGCAAAGTTCAAAACACTGGTAATTAGGATACTCACAGAAATGGCTGAGTATGGTTGCAAAATAGAGGATAAAGTGAAGGCTATGCAGAATGAAATTAAGGAAAATGTACAGGAAACCAACAGTGAAGAGAAGGAACCCAAGACTCAAATCAAGGATTTGGATCAGAAGGAAGAAAGGAACATCTAACCAGAACAGAGCGAAAAAACAAGAATTCAAACAAATGAGGAGAGGCTTAGGAACCTCCAGGACATGTTTAAATGTTCCAGCATCTGAATCATAGGGGTGCCAGAAGGAGAAGAGGAAAAGTAAGAAATTGAAAACTTATGTGGAAAAATAATGAAGGACAACTTCCCTAATCTGGCAAAGGAAATAGATTACCAGGAAGTCCAGGAAAGCTCAGAGAGTCCCAAAGAAGTTGGACCCAAGGAAGTACACACCAAGGCACACCATAATTACCTTAGCCAAGATTAGAGTGAAGGAGAGAATCTTAAAAGCAACAAGACAAAAGGAGAGAATTACCTACAAAGGAGTTCCCATCAGACTGTCAGCGGATTTCTCAAAAGAGACCTTGCAGGCAAGAAGGGACTGGAAAGAAGTATTCCAAGTCTTGAAGGGCAAGGACCTACATCCAAGATTACTTTATCCAGCAAAGCTATCATTTAAAATGGAAGGGCAGATAAAGTGCTTCCCAGATAAGGTCAAGTTAAAGGAGTTCATCATCACCAAGCCCTGATTATATGAAATGTTAAAGGGACTCATCTAAGAAAAAGAAGAAGATCAAAATATGAACAGTAAAATCACAACAAACTCACAACTATCAACAAGTGACCCTAAAAAAAACAAAAACAAAAAACAAACCAAACAATAGAACAGGAACAGAATCACAGAAATGGAGATCACATGGAGGGTTATCAGCAGGGAGAGGTAGGGGGGAGAATGGGGAAAATGTACAGGGAATAAGAAGCATAAATGGTAGGTACAAAATAGACGGGGGAAGTTAAGAATATTATGGGAAATGGAGAAGCCAAATAATTTATATGTAGGACCCACGGACATGAACTAAGGTGGGGAATGCTGGTGGAAGGTGGGGTACAGGGCAGAGGGGAACAAAAGGGAGGAAACAATGTGGCAACTGTAATAGCATAATCAATAAAACATTTAAAAAGTAAAAAATAAAAATTCCATTCCTGGGAGAATGGAAAACATGTTCAAACAAAAATTATACACAAATGTTCACAGCAGCATTGTTCAGAATAGCCAAAAAGTGGAAACAACACAAATATCTATCAATTGATGATATGGAAGTAAAATGTGGTACTATAGCCCTAGACAGGTGGTTCAGTTGGTTGGAGTGTATTCCTGCACACGAAGGTGTTGTGGGCTCAATTCCTAGTCAGGGCACATACCTAGGATTTGGGTTTGATCCTGGTTTGGGGCACATAAGGGAGACAATCAATCGATGCTCCTTTCTCTCCCTCTCTTTCTCTCCACCCCTCCCTCTTCCCTCTCCCCCTTCCTCTCTTTCTAAAATCAATTTAAAAAACATTTCTGGTGAGGATTTTTTTAAATGTGGTACTGTATATCTATACAATACTATTTTTTGGCCATAAAAAGGAATGAAATACTGGCACATGCTGCAACATGTATGATCATTGAAAACACGATGCTAAGTGAAAGGAGCCAGATACAAAAAGGCACCATATTGGATGATTCCATTTAAGTGAAATGTCCAGAATAGGCAAATCTCTAGAGACAGAAAATAGATTAGTTTAGTGGATGCCAGGGGATGGGGAAAGAAAGAATTGGGGCATGACTGATAATGGATGTGGGGTTTCTTTTTGGGGTGATGGAAACATTTTAAAATTAGGTGCTGGTAATGTTGAACAACCTTGTGAATATATTAAAAACCACTTTCAAAGGATGAATTTCTAGTGCACTGTTGGTGGGATTGCGGACTGATGCAGCCACTGTGGAAAAATAGTATGGAATTTCCTCAAAAAAATTAAAAATGGAGCTACCTTTTGAACCAGTGATTCCACTGCTGGGAATGTACCCTAAGAATCCCAGAACATCAATTCAAAATAACTTATGCATCCCTATGTTCATAGCAGTGCCATTTACAATAGACAAGAATTGGAAACAGCCTAAGTGCCCATCAGTAGATGAGTGGATTAAAAAACTGTGGTACATTTACACAATGGAATATCACACGATAGAAAAAAAAAAGGAGCTCCTACCTTTTGTGACAGCGTGGATGGAACCGGTGACTATTATGCTGAGTGAAATAAGCCAGTCAGTGAAAGACAAATAAATACCATCTAACCTCACCTATGAACAAAATAAAAGGAATCTAATGAACAAAATAATGAGTAAAATAGAACTAGAGGCATAGAATCATGAAATAAACTGACATTGAGAAGAGGGGAGGAGGGAGATAGGGACTCTTTGAAAGAGGATGAAGGGATTAGTCAGAAAACATGCATGAAGGATCCAAGGACATGGACGACGATGTGGGGATTTACTATGGAAGCTGGGGGAGGACTGGGCAGAGGGGGTTGAAGGGGAAAATTGGGACAACTGGGAGCTGTGGTTGGGGGGTGTGGGTTTTGTGGCTAAACTTGAAGGTGGGGTTTTAAGATTATATTTATTTATTTACTTTTAGAGAGAGGAAGAGAAGGGGAAAGAGAGGGAGAGAAACATCAATGTGTGGTTGCCTCTTGTGCACCCCCTACTGAGAACCTGGCCTGTAACCAGGCATGTGACCTGACTGGGAATTGAACCAGAAACCCTTTGGTTTGCAGGCCCATGCTCAATCCACTGAGCTATACCAGCTAGGGCTATCTTAAATAAATTTTTAAATGAAGTTCTTTAAATTATCCTATAAATACTATTATAATGTAAAGGCCTAACAAGGTCATTGTAGGAGCCAATAAATATAAAATGGATCAGGAAAATATTTAAAGGGAAAGTTAATATAGTTGAAGTGGCAAAATAATGGTATAACCATATGAGTAGTTTGGGAATGTAGAAATAAAAAATGAAGCTGAAAAAATCCATGATTAATGAAAACAGTCTTTTAGATACAGGACAAGTTTAAATAAGAGCAGAGGAAAAAATAAATTAATTCCTTATTTTATAATTTTCCTTTATTGTATTATAACCCTGAATCACAACACCCCAGAGGCATTCTTAGGGCACAGGAAGATTATAAGAATAGTATTACTATAATTCCATTTTATTTGCAACTGAAGGAGATGCCCAGCCTTACACAGTAACTTAATGATGAAGCCAAGAAATTTCATTGGAGCCTTTCTCCTAATGCTTTACCTGCTGGCTACTTTCATGTTGAAAATATCAACTAAGTCAGCTTTAAAAGTGATACCATAAAGCCGTATTTGTATTCCTCAGTCTAAACTCACCAAGTTAAATATAAAAGCCAATGTTTATTCCAGCTTGCATTGTTACACAAAGCTGTCTAAAAATTTTCTGGTTGGATGAGAATATTCCATTTTTGGCTCCCTAGGAATTAAAATTTTAAATGAAATCGAAATGCTTCCTTAATCAAAGTTAAATAATAATAATATAATAACTCCTACCCAAATAACCAAGCCACAATGAATGAATGAATGAATGAATGAATGAACTTTGTACCACAGAATGTGAAGGACCAAGATCCTCTAATACAGCCATTGTCTCACATTAAACACAAGATGCAGACAATGATATCATCTCTTTGGAGATTTATGGGAAGGACATTTTGCGAGAGCACTTTATGCAAATACCAGGACTTGTTGCTTACAAGCAAGGGTCAGCATTCTCATTAGCTCTGCCTTCGTGAGGTCAAATATCCTAAGAAATATTTGCATAGTGCTTTTCATATATTCATTTTACTGAACCCAACTACTCATGAGAGTAGAGACAAGGAACTCTTACATTATTATCCATTTTACATCTCAGGAAGCAGACGGTCAGAATAGGGAAGTGACTTGTCCAAAGCCACCAGGCTTATCAGTGACAGAGCTGGGTGGGACTCAAGGCTGGGTCTTCTAATACCAGGTTCTAACTTCTTCCTACCTTATTCCCTACTTCTCCACGTAAGCTGTGTCAGAGGAAGGCTCAGACATTCCACAAGAAGAAAGAATGAGAAGGAAAGGAAAGTACTGAAGAACTAGAAAGGGAAGATGGTGGGGGAAGGAGGTGTTTTATTAGGAAGGAAATCTAACCACTCTCAATCGTCCCATATGTCCCTTAAGTGGAAACAGTGCCACAAGTTGCTCTACTGTAAATTAATCCTTTGCCCTTCGGACTACAGCTACTGTTAGAGAATCACGCTGGAGACTTAAAAGTCTAAAAGAAAAATTTAAAGATTTTTCTCATCTGAGGTTCTGACAGCTGAACCTAGCCCATCCCACAAAGGCCCTTGGGAGCCGAAGAAACAGTGAAGTGTGGGAGAATCAAGGGAAGACGGCTTCGGTTGAGGGGGTGAGTAAGGTTGGGCTAAGGAGATGGGGAGCCTGTGGTGGAGCTGTGGTTGGGGGATGTGGGTTTTGTGGCTAAACTTGAAGGTGGGGTAGGAAACCAGGATCCGGGCTGACTGTCACAGTGGAGTTTACAGGTCCAGGAGGGGTTAGGGGAGCAGAGGAGTTTGCGAGGCTAGAGAAAGACCAAGGAGGGTGCGAGGCTGGGTGGTCTGTGGAGCGGGAGGATGCAGCAGAGGCCCCTCGCGAACGTCTGGGATTGGATGCTCCGTTGCGTCCTGCCTCCCGAGACCCTTCTCTCCTCAAGCCCCGCCCACGACACCGGGCGTGCGCTGGGGAGCGGGCAGAGGGACGAGGTTGGAGAAGGAGGGAGGGGGAGAGGAGAGGCTCATGCACGCGCCCCACTGGCTGCGGTGCGCGAGCAGCGCGTTCCCGCCGCCCGCGTCGCCATCTTTTCCCCCTCCGTCTGTCTGTCTGCCGTGGGCTTTGTCCGACTGCAGTGCCGCCCCTCGGCTCACCGCCATCAGCTCGGCCCGCAGCCTTACTTCGTCTGCTGGGGCCCAGTACCGGAGAGCCCCGGCCTGGCCGGCTCAAGCTGCAGCCCGGGGCCCATTGTCCCGCGGTCAGTCTGTCCGGAGGCGGGGCCCAGGGACCGGAGCGCCGCGGACCGCGGAGGCGCCGGGTAAAAAAACCCCCGACTGAGCTATGGGGCCAGGCTGAGGATGCAGGGGCTCTTCAAGCCCCACTGTGGGTTACTGGCTGTGGGTCTTTTGTCTGTCCGTGTCTGGGGAGGGGGCTGGTGTCTCGCTCTGGCCTGGGGGGGCAGCCCAGGCTCCGACCCACCCCCTGCCCGCTTTCCCGAGGTGGGGCTGCACCCAGCTCGCTCTCCTCTTTCTCCCCTTGGCGCGGGAGGGGCGTCCCGCAGCCGCCCTCCCCGCGTGGGCCCAGGTCCGGCTTGGCGGAGAACAGCCGGGCCGCCCCGGCGTCTGACAGGCTGGGGAGGAGGGGGGGAGGGGGAGGATGGGCGTGGGAGTGCAGACCCGGGTATCAGCCCCGTGCTGCCGTCTCGCTGCGAGGCTTCTAAATATAGATTTTGGAGGAGGCTGTGGTGTCTGAGGGTATATTTGAGCCGTCTCGTAAGACCACTGGCTTACTGACTTTTGCCTGATAATTCCTGGGAATCTACCTGGCTCATGCTTGAAGAAGCCAGAAGGACCATCTTGACTGATTATAATGTTCCAGACGAAACCGAAGTGGGAACGGGGTGAACAGTGAGGCGACTGCTTGACCAGCTTTCTTGTCCGCTCCTTTTTGGCAGATACCACTCACTGGGATTCAGGCGAGTTTACTTTCTTCCGTGGGAATCGCACCAGAGTTGGAGGTGGGAGTGCACCCTCTTTTCTTAAAGCTTAGATTTCACTCGTTTTTTCTTTGCTGAAGTCTGTGGTGTGTCCTGGAAGCTGCAACCTAACACTTGTGGGAGAGCAGGGGCAGTGTGAAGGGGAAAGTTGCCCCCCTCCACCAAGGACTCAACCTCTTTCTAAAGACAGACAAAGCTGCCTTCCTTTTTAAATAGAATCACTTGTAGAGTCGAATCTCACCGTTTACCTTTCCTCCTGTCCTGGTTTTCTTCGAGACGGTGATGTTCAGGCAGCTATCCATTTACATTTTTGTGTTGGTTTCAGGTTCGGGCTTGGGAACTGAGGCAGTGTTAAAAGTAAAACTGTGTGAGTGACAGTGTGTGTATGAATTTTATTAGCTTTTAATGCCCACAAAGCAGTTGTCTAACTCCTGAGATCTTGTGTGTGGTCAAGAATGTACTTTCAATGCTATTTATTTATTTTCAAGAATCCTCTACCCTACAGGCTTTCTCCCTCAGGGAGGGAGAGACTATTTGCAGAATTTTCCCTTAATCCCTCAGGTGTAAGGTTCCAGTGGGTACCATCTGGCCAGTTCCCCATTTGGCCGCTAGGAGGATTGTGAGATGCAGTGGACATTGCCAATTTAAATATGCAGATGCCCATCTGTTTCCGACTTGTAGCTTTAATATTGGACTGTTGTCTTACCGAGATGATCTGAATAGAGCCTGCCTCAAGTTATTCGGCCTTCCTTCAGAAGAATCTTTATTACCTTTATCTCACAGTTTCAATTTCTAATCCTCATGGAGAGGAAATTTAAAGATTAGTTAAGATTTCATATTTTCCTTATGCAATAGAGAGGTGTCGCTCTTCAAGTTGTAGAAAAATGAAAGACAACCTGCATTTTGTTCAGTTTTCCGCTTTGCAATTCCACAGACTTACAGGAAAAGTGTATGTTACCCGAAAGTGTAATGGTCATTCAGTGCTTCCATTAATAAAGTAACAACACGGTTAGAAAGAAATGATCTATACAAAACTCAAAATAGAGAACACATTAGCGTGAGCACTAAGCCTTCTAAAAAGTTAAAATTGGTTTTTATGTATATTTGGAGTTTATTTTAATTAAAGGTCTGAAAAAGAACTGTGTTTGATACGCAGATATGATAGAAGACTGCCTGAAAGCTGCTTCCTTTGCCACTTCCTGTGGAGGCCTGTCTTTGCCATTCGCGGTTTCTTTCTTCTTTTGGTAAGGGGAGGCAGGATCTGATCACAGGTCTGAGGTCCTTTCTAGCTACGTAGAGGAATTAGTTGGCATAATAGGAGGTGAGTCTTCACTAAATGGTTGGAGTGCAAAGTATAGCTAGTAGTAGCCTCCCATAATGCTTCTTATGGCAATGAATTACAGTTTTATATTTGCTCATTCAGTGTAAATACAATATGAGAAGGTAGGAACTGAAAGAAAACTTAAGGGGTAACCAGATCCATATTCTTGTCTTTGGTAGGAAAAAGAATCTATCTCTTTTTAATCTGTGTCTGTTTATTAATGTTATCTTTCAAAGAAAATTTCACAGCTTCCAATACTAATTCATTTCAGACTCTCTAACAACACTTACTGCTGGGAAAGTCATAACTAACCAGGACACTTCAGACTTAAGTACCTGCTCACTCCTATTTCAGGGGAGCAGGTGCATGTCTCCACAGCACTTCTCATCCGGGGAGCTTTCCTATTTCTCCCACTGAGCTCTTTGCTACACAGAGGCTGGATTGAGAAGAGGCACTGAAGTTATTAACGTTGACCACTGCTCTAGAGCATGTGAGCAGGGCCAGGTTGGTGTTCCACATTGGGGTGCTGAATTAGTACTCAAGAATGTGGGTGGCCCTGGTCTGCCTGTGAGAGATCCTCTTCAACACTGGAAGTCTGATTTGCTTTAGTGCCCTGTCATCCATGGTACCCAACACTGTGCCCGCCTCACTAGGGAGTGGCTCTTTTTCCTGTGGTGTTTGGAGACATTCCCTGTCTCAGTGATGTGATGCCATTGTTACCTCTTGGGGAGATAACTTTGTGAAAAACACCTGAAGTCTCCCGTTGGTGTGTATTGCACGGCTTAACTTCCAGTGGGCATGTGAGCTGCTACCCTCTTTAGCTTTTTTTGGCTTCCTTTTACAATCAGGGGGCTTATTCCTTTGAGCTTGCAGTAGTACTAATGTTGTTTGCCTGAGTATCTTCTTCCTTTTCTATTCTGTGATCTTGATCACAATAGCTGAGCAATATTCTGAATTCCACAGACAGATTTAGAGTGGAATTCTGTAAATCCTTTGCAGGAGTCCCCTCTTAAACTTGGGACTTCGATGTTGTACTATAGAGGTATTCATTTGTTTCTTTCTTTAATTAGTTCAATTATTAATGACTGGTGAGTTTTATATTGTTAAGAACTATTTTTAAAATTTTTAAATTACTTTTGTATACTATCTGGGCAAAATGACATGCGCTAACAATATCCTTTTTGTTATAGGTCAGCACCCTGCAAGGAGGTAGTAAGATATCCAGTTGTGAAACTGGGAAAGGCCAGAGCTCTTGGATTAGGGAAACATGTCCCGTCGGAAACAGACAAATCCAAATAAAGTTCACTGTGAGTATTGGGACTTTTTCTTCTGGAATCTGGGAACATTGAGGGTTGGAATGGAAGAGTAATGTGAATTTTAGGTTAGAGGCTCACACTAATTTGTGAAGAAAAAAGTGTTAAAGATATTGAACATGATAGATTTAAAGTGTGTTTGGTTGCTGGAGAACGTGCTAGAAACTGTCTTGGGAATAGATGCATTTGATTCACCCTTAGTATTTCATATTAACAAACATTTATAGGATATCTACTCTGCTAAAAGACTTGTGCTAGTTGCCTGGGCTGTAAAATAACATAAGGATATATAAGACTATAAATGTAGTAACAGACAAAGTGTGTATGGATGTGTGTGTATGTATGTTATATATACATATACACAATATAATATATATATATATATATTATATAATAGTATACGCTAAGTGCCAAATAGTGATGCTACAGACTGTCTGTACTACAGAAGTTAAGAGGAGGAAGAGAACCTCATAGACTGAGGTAGCAAGGGAATGCTTGATGGCAAGAGACCCTGGACCATGAACTTGAACTAGGTATTAGAAGGTAGAAAGTAAGTTTTTAAAAAAGGAAGGCAGAGGTAAAATCAGACAGGGAAAAAGATATGAGTAAAGATACAAGTGGGGATACATGTGATATGTATAGGGGACAAGGAAACTTTGGATGAAGCATTTGTCCAGAAGTTGTAGGATGTGAGGTTGGAGATATTTAACCTACATTGTAGAGGCCTAAAGGCCAGGCCAAGCTCAAACTTCCTCTTGTAGACTGTAAGGAGCTACTGACAGTTTTTAAGCAGGGAGAGTGGAATGACATTTAGAATGCAGTATTTGGGGATGGATCACATTAGGGGGGGACTGGTAACAGCAAGACCAGGTATGCTCTATTGCCTTGCATTATTTCTCAATGGTTTTAGATGTATGTCTTATGTTGGTAATTGGATGGTAAACTTCCAAGAGGGCAGAGACCATGTCTCATGTATATTTCCTGCTATCCCTCTCAACCTCTAGCACTGTTCATAGTGGGTGTTTCAGTACCTTAAAGTACCTTATAAAGTTAATATATCTGTAAGTTTGAGATAATGAGTTTCCTGTGACCTGGGGAGATGAGCAACCTCACCCAAATGTTTATAAAAGAGATGAATAGCTCCCTATGATGGAGGATTGACCAAATAAAGTATAGCAACATTTGAAGAGAATTCAGTGGTATAACATTTGAAAGATTTTTTAAAAGGGAAAAGAACCCCTACATTTGAGATTAGACAGAGTTAAGAGAAGAGGATCAAAATTTCTTTAAAAACATACCATGTGCCAGGCCTTGTGTGCCTTATCTTACTGGGTAATTTCAAGAGTAGGAGAGAAAACAGTAGGAGCTGAAGAATTAAGAGGACTTAAACATCTTATAGATATAATGAAATTAGGGTAGCAAACCTCTGTATGCTCTGAAAAAATGTATAAGACAGGACAAGTTGAGCGCTCCTAGGAATGTATTCTAGGTGGGTATGGAAGGCTGCTTAATACAAAGGGGAGTGGTTTAAGAAGGCTTTAGAAATTGCTGCTAAACAGTAAACAGTGGGGCTGAACGTGAGGATTGATAAGAAAGAAAATGGAGTGTTCTAGCTGTAGGTAATCCACACAGTGCTTACGAGGATTGTCTTCTCTCTGGTTGAAAGTGTATATTGATTGGTAAAAGACACAGATATGACCCCTAAGAAGGCAGGGCAGGAAAGGTACTCTTGAGAGAGGTATGTTGGGTTCATGAATAAGGCAATCATAGGAGTTGAGCATTTACCTATACAGACCTTCTGTCCAGAGAAACTGGTTAGATTTGAGGAAAGGAGGTAGGTGGGTGATGGTGATTATGGTCAGGCCAAGGGTTGGGTGGCCTATGCCTGTGTCCATGTAGCATACACCATGTTTTGCTGTGTATCACATGCACTCACATTTTAGTACTGATTTCCACGTATAGTGCACATTCTTGTTTTTCCCTAAAAAATTTAGGCAAAAAAGTGCGCGTTATACGCAGCATAATACATCAGCTGCATCTCCTCCCACTATATTCAATCAAACCAGGTTGAGCTGGTATTAGAGTCAGACAAACAGGTGGACAACCAGGCCATGGAGAAGGAGAGAATATCACACATCCACAGCTGCAGAAAAGCAGTTTCCAGAGCGAAGGAACATTGTATTGTGCTGGAGTGGGTGGGACTTTGTGGCCTCTGTGGGAGTGACATGAGGAGGGCTGTGAACAGAAATGTTCAGCCGCAGCTAGAAAGCAGGCCCAAGGGAGGGGCTGTTTTCATCAACACATCTGGGCAGAGAACTGTGAGGGCTTCTTAGGTGCTATAGTGTGGGCTTGACAGAAGAACGGGCAGTGGGATTTGCTGATCTCTAAGGACCTTGTATTTATTTATTATTTGGGGACTGAAGCTGATCCTATCTTTTAAAAAAAAGTATTTATTGTTAGAGAAATGGGAAGGGAGGGAGAAAGAGAAGGAGAGAAATCTCAGTGTGTCAGGTACATTGATCCGTTGCCTCTTGCAAGCCCCCAACTGGGGACCTGGTCCGCAACCCAGGCATGAGCCCCGACTGGGAATGGAACCGGGGACCTTTCGGTTCACAGGCTGGTGCTCAGTTCACTGAGCCACACCAGTCAGGGCCCTACCTGTTTTAAAAGGACATCTCATTGCCCATGACAATAATGGTAAGTAGAAATTGGTAATTTCAGTCTTCTGACTACTTGCATATCCTATCCCCTTGCAGTGAAAACGAACCAATCAAATGTATTGAATTTAATGCTGCTCATCTATTTAAAGTAAATGGAGTGGACTCAAGGAAGTCTGCAGAAGCTCTGCTTCAATATCAAAGCCGGTCGGCACTGGAGCTGAGTAATGGCTGAGCTCCATTCAATCTGCCTTCTGGGAAGGAGATTATGTGGCCTAAAGCTCAAAGCCCGTCTAAAAGAATATATTAAGAATCCCACTGCTGTAGCATGGTAGCATTCATCCGACCCACTTTAGAGGCCAAAGGGCAGGCGGCTTCGACATTTACTTGGCTTTCATCAGGACTGACTCTGTATCTCAGAAATATCCGGGCAGATTCTTGTGCTTTACCCAGTTCATTGATAGACTTGTTGAGAGTTTTTGCAAGAAAAGCCCAAAATTGTTAGTCACAGATAAACTGCTAATGGGCTGAAATGTGTTAGACCCTCCCTCCATTCTTTCTCATCTCACCCTTCTGAGTATAAGTTCTTGTCAGCTCTTTCTAGAGAGGTTGAAAATGAGAGCCTTGAACACTCTCATTTGGTGTGTTTATACCAAGCAAACCACTAAGGAAAGGAAAACTTTTTCTTGAGAGTTTCTGTTTCCAGATAGCACATTCGTATTAAAAACTTTCAACTAAAATTAAAAGCTTTTCGGCTTTTACAGAGAAGAAGGGAAAAAAGCCTTTGTAGTCCCTTCTTTTCTAAAAAGTGCAACTTGTTTCATCCATTCTGTGAGCTTCCCTGTGCGGTAAATGGTTATGTTCCCAACATGTGGTAGTACTGGGGGCCCAGAGATTGTCAGCTCGAGATGGAATCCTCTCTCCCAATACTAGCTTATTTTTTGAGTTTCACATCTGCTCTGTTAGAATATGTTTCGCTGCTGTACTTAATTGCATTCAGCTGAAACTGTATTTATGAGGTGGGCAAAATAGGTTTACAGTTGTGAGTATGTGAAACAGTTATTCTTGTGTTATTATTTATTAAGTATTATATTATTTTCAATACATATAACCATAAACCTACTTTTGGCCACCCCTATATTTAACTGTACCAAACACTCAAGAAAGAGAATTTTAAAATCTTTGTCTTTCCAGTAACGTTCATTTCAGGCTTCTGTTCTGCAAACTTGCTTACATGGCCTTGTTTTCATCTGGTCTGAAAAACCTTAGCCAAGCAAACCATATTTTGATTTCATACTAAAGAAAGGAGAGGTGACACCTTGCTTTTTTACTGTGGGAACTTAGATGACTCCTTTTCAACTATTAATAGACAAATACCTGTGTTAGAGAAGGTGGTTGCCCTGCATTAATATGTAGAGGATTTTTTTTAACTTACTCCAACAGTCTCAAGGTAGAAAGAAATAATAATTCTATGTTGCACAAGCAGGCGGTTGTATAACACTTCTTTAATCACTAGTATCTCTCTGAATCATGTTATATTTAATTATGACATACTTTTAGCAAGTATCACCATCTGCTTGTGAAAGGATAATTCTGGACAGCCAGATTTTAGGGATTAGGTAAACAATGACTACTGTGAGATCATTCACATATCTTTTCCTGTGAGTCCTGCCAAAATCATGTCTTTTTTTTTTTCTTGATTTTTATATAGTTTGCTCTGGTTGATGTTTAAAATAGGAGTGGCCCCGAGGAATAAAGTTTACCTTAGCCTTTTTTCTCAAGTCAGGAACAGAATAAAATATAAAATCACAGTTGTTCTCCCCAAACTGCCAAAAAGGAATGACAGAATCAATTTATCCCAACTGTCCTAGGTGAGATTGCCTGGGTGAGCAAAAAGTCCTGGATAGAGAAGCTGCATGGAACAGACTCATCTCTGTTCTGTGAAGGCCTAAATATTTAAACAAAAATATTTAGACAAAAATAAACATTTAGACAAAAATAAAATTTAAGTTCCAGTTGATAGAAACCAAACTGAATTACTAGCTGATATTGAAAGGTACATATACTTTTAGATACCCTTTTATTAATCCAGTGGGTGATTCCTTAGTAAGAAGGAGTGGGAAAGTATACAAGGTCTGTCTGGAAAAATATCCAACTATTGTTAATGTAACAATAACGGTTTACATGAAATTGATGTAACCTAGAGAATGGACTGGAATGTGCGCATGTGAACAATGACAACCACACTGCACTAGTCAGTGGGGGCCATTGAGTGAAGTGAGCAGGTGTACTGTGTGGCCATTGCATTCAAAATGACTGAGCGAATAGAGCAACACATCTGCATCAAATTTTGCATTAAGCTTGAACATTCCTCTGTGAAAACTATTTAGATGACTCAGGAAACCGCAGTTATGGGCAGTTGGTGATTGGCAGCTTCATCACAACAACACGCCCACTCATGCCTCGTGTCTCATGCAGACTTTTTTGGTGAAACATCAAATCACCCAGGTCATTCAGCCCTGCCAGCCCAGATTTGGTGCCCTGCGACTTCTGGCTTTTCTCAAAACTAAAATCACCTTTGAAAGGGAAGAGATTTCAGACCCATCAGCGAGATTCAGGAAAATATGATGGGGCAGGTGATGGCAATTGGGAGAACTGTGTGAGGTCCCAAGGTGCCTACTTTGAAGGGGACTGAGGTGTCATTGCCCTGTGTACAATGTTTCTTGTATCTTGTATCTTCAATATATATCTATATTTCATATATTATGGGTGGGTACTTTCTGGGCAGACCTCGTATATTCTAAATATGCTACAAACCTAGCTGGTTTCTGGCTAGGTTTCTTTAGAGTTGAGTAGCATCAGTGATGAGAATGATCTGCCCCTTGATTATTATTTACGAGCTGATATATAACTTGTTCCACGGTGCCTTATATGCCTATAGTCACCAGGTCTGAAAACACGCATCTACCCAGAAGAATTCAGTAACCATTCCGTTGGCATGGCCATGTGGTTATGGTGGGACCAACATGGAGAAGTTAAATATTTTACTTCTGCAAAAAAAGAAGAGAAGACACAATAACAGAATTCGCATTTTGCTTTCTCTAGTAGTAATTCGTATCAAGCATGTCATCTTGGACATTATGAAGATGGACTTTAAGCAACTTGTTTTTCCATTCCTTCAGGGCTGTGTGGTTGCAGTACATTTGGACTCTAACCCAGGCATGGTACTACCACATGGTATCAGACCCATCAAAATGATGGCTCTTTTTGTCATATACGGGCCCCGAGAACGTTATTTTGGCATTTGAGTTGTGTTTATCAGGTTCTCATGACCCGAAGGTAGCAGTAACACTAAGACTGGAGCCACTCTTCTCACAGAGACAGCATAACTACTGATAACCTCCTGCTTACATCTCTACTAGAAAGCAGTTCAAAAATATGGATATTAGAGTTGAGTAGACCTTTGGGTTTGAAAACTTACTTCCACCATAGACCTTAGTTTCCCCCTAAGTAAAATGAGGGTAGTAATACCTACCACATACAGTTTTACAGGGAATTAAGGTAAGGTAACAAGTATAAAGCACTTAACATAGTATCTGGAGCTATGAAGTGCCAAATACTATTATTTGTGTTCAACACTTTGCATATAGTTAACACCCAGTGAATTCTTGCTGAACGAATGCCTAAGCAATCCCATGAAGGCTAATTTACTTCAATTCTCTCAATGCCTAAGGACTAGTAGTACAGACCAACTGACCTGTTCATTTCTCCGACATCATTGTCTCCTGCCTTGGAACCTGAGCCTGTTTACTTCCCTTTCTCTCCTCAGTAAGAAAGCGCTGTTGGTCTGTTGCCAAACATTTCACTAGGGCTTTTTATTATTCTCTCATAGCGGCTGGAGAATGGGGACTGTAGTTTCCACTCTGACTGAGATAATGGAAACCTCAAGAAACCCAATTCTCTTTTCTCCTTATGCCTGGCCTCTTGGAAATAAAAGAGCACTTAAATGTTAACTCTTTAGTAACCACACAGATCCCAGGCAGAGTTCATTTTAAAAAAAGACACATTGGGTCATTGGATTGAGGACACTGATGGCATGTTTCAGGAAGTTTGTCCCTCAGCAGAAATGGGTTCATAGATTACCTGTCCTCCTTTTAATCCATTCTTCAACTAGTTGTAGATTTGCTTATGGTTAATTCTGATAGACTTTAGAAAGGGAGTCAAGGAAGAACTTCCAGAGCATGCTTTAGAAGGAGAGTGGATGAAAGATGGGATTTGATACTGCTGTCTAGATGGATTACTTGAAGCACTGCTGTAATAGTCTGAGATAGACACTGACTCAGGGCATAATGGGAGTACAGTAAGAATCACAGATTGTGCCCAGATTTGTTGCCCTATCTTTATCTCTCCCTTTGCTTCTTGCTACTATCTCCCCAATTCTGATCGAAGGTTGTAAATGGAATTGAGATTCTGAAGCTAAATTTGTAAAGTAGCAATTGATCACCTTTTGAAAGTGAGTCAAGATTAGGAGGATTTAAGGGAAGCAAATGATGTTTTCTGGAGCATCTGGCTTACTGCCCAGGAAGAGTAGCTGCACCCAGAAACAGTTGTAGGCAACAAGCTGCCTTGGAGATGAATGACTCTACCACAGGGTACCTGCCTGTCTCCTGCCTTTGAATGGTCTGACTTTCCAACCAGCTTGCCTGGGGATGTGCTGCCCAGCTGGTGGCCTGACTATTTTTCCTTGTGACCACCAGGGGATCAAGTATTTGCTGGGCTAGAAGAGCAAGCCCGCCAGGCGATGATGAAAACTGATTTTCCTGGAGACCTTGGCAGTCAGCGACAAGCTATCCAACAGCTAAGAGATCAGGACTCCAGTAGCAGTGAGTTCTGCACCTTCTGGTAATGACTCAGGGCAATGGGAGAAGAATTATCACAGTGTGTGTGCTCTGGGGATTGTGCATGGGGTTGGGAGGAAGACATGAAGAAGGAGACTTGTGAATCCTCAGTGTTCCCAAAGGTGTGCTAAGGTGTATTGGCATCTTCTTACCCAGGGAGAGAACAGGCTTGGTGTGTGGTGTTTCTTTTCACTCATGGACTGCCGTACTTGGTGCAGTACCATACACAGATAGGCTTGTGATGATGGTGATAGACAGGGGCATAGGAGTGATCAGTGCCTAAGCAGCCCCTGGGTCAGGTCAAATGAAAAATTTTAAAATCTCTGTCTCCTTGGATATATTTATTCATAATTAATAAAATGTAAGAGTGACATTAATGAAACTTTTGCTCGAGGACCTAGTTTTAATGTTACTCAAGAGACATTGCATACTAATGAGATCGTGCATCGTATAAAACGCTAATGCCAAGTCTTCCCTTCCCACACCGAGTCCTTAGGAGATCCCTGTGGTTAAGAGATGGAAAAGACAGTGGCTGGTAGCTGGTTGAGCCTTGTGGACTGCCTATTCCATGACCTATCTGAATAAATACACTTTGAGATGTGTTAGTTTCTGTGATGATTTCCATACTTTACTAATCTCATCCAATACTGGTTATTATTAGTGTCAAATCAGAGATATTTCACATTTTTCTTCACATTTTGGGTTGTGGAAGAACGAAGAGGGGGAGAGTTCTGCAACCTTCTAGGAGCTGCAGTTTCCACTCAAACTAATAATTTAGCAAAAAAAAAAAAAACACTTAGCAATTAATTACTCAGGTAGAGAAAAATATCTGGGTAGAGAACCCAGATATTTTTACAAAACCTGTGGGAGCCACCAGTTTGAGTAACAGGTGGGAATGGCAACATGTATAAAAGTCTAACTGGTTTCCATTCTGGAGCAGATGCATCACTCCTCTGGATAGCATACTTATTCTTTTTAAAATCTTTCTTGTAGAGACATGTATTTGGATTTTTGATAAACTATAAAATTATGTTTGATACAGTGTTGTCTTAGACTAAGTTTACAAGTATTCCAGATAAGCTGGTGAGAAACTGTGGTCTGAGTTATTACCCTGTGCCGATCCTTCATCACTGAGGTGGAATCACACTGAGGGGGCTGGGGAATGAGGCTCACATACCATACCAAATCCAGTCCACCAGCCACATGGGGTATCGGACAGGGATACGCTACTAACAGATGATTTAGTTAGACTTTCTTAGGAAGAATGGGAATCTAACCAGTTTTGCCCAGATACTGGTGCATTTAGAAATTGTGCAAGGGAGAGGAGAGAGAAGGCAAGAAACACTGTTAGCTAGGAAAGCTCAGTCCCACCGCTGGTGCAGGGACTGGTGAAACTCTAGCCTGTTTCTCTCTTGCTCACTGTCAGACCCAGGGCTCCAGCATGCAGGTGGGGATGGGGAGGGGCTGGAGTCTGGCGGCTTCCCTAGGCCTGGCTTCCTCTTGTGGTCTTCAAGGTACTAGCACTTCTTTTTTTCCTTTCAGAAAGCACTCCCTCTGTTATTGTTATTATTCTTTTTTTAAATTTCTCTCTTTATAAGAAATAGTGTAGAAAACCAGCTCCCAATAAACCTTGAAGTTCCCCTAGCCACAGACAGATCTCCCCTCAGCTACATCCTGTCCCCTAAACTAAAACACTCAATTCTTACTTTAGCCACAATAAATTATATTTCATTCTAAAGTAAAGAATAACCTGTTCCCTGTACTTAATGCAGCCAGTCATCCATCAGATAATCCAAAGAACGAACAGAAACAATAGATTTATTTAGCTTAGAATACTGAGTTACCAGCAGAGTAATAAGAACACAGTGAATACTGGTACAAACTGCCTGAGGTTGTTTGCTACACTAATTTTCCCACTGTACTGAACAGCCCTTTCCCTATAAAGTGACATCACTTTAAGGTAATTTACTACTGTCTCCCGTATTGATTAGAAGAAAGAAAAACTTGGTTTCTTTAAGTGTGCCTTGGAGTTTGTTGGGAGAGGATAGACTAGAGTGGGACTCAGAATAGTTTATGTGCTATCATGGAGAAATTGTGCCGGGGGGGTTTGGAGTAAAGTAAGTTAAATCAGTGAGAAGTGTTGGTAGATCGGAGGTGGTGTGTCGTGGGAATGAGCATGGTGTGAGGTACATGGGAAGTGTGATTTGAAGTATGAGATATTTGGGGAACATGTGTAAGAAGTTACTATTTTTATGATGATGCACAGGGCCCAATAACCATTTTCTAATGCAGTTTGCCTCAGATTTTCTCTGTAGCGTGTGTCATTATAAAAAACACCGGTAGCTGGCTCCGCTTAACATGATTTGAACCCAACTAAACACTGATTCAAACTATATTATGAAAGATCTGAAAATGTTTTTTTTTATTATAGCTGCAAACTCCAGGGTGGGAAGCAACTCAAGATGTATTCTTGCAAAAATCAGAACAAGTGACCAGTTTGTGTGTTCTAGGTGACAGTGAAGGTGATGAAGAGGAGACCACACAAGATGAAGTCTCTTCCCACACATCAGAGGAAGATGGAGGGGTAGTCAAAGTGGAAAAAGAGTTAGAAAATGCAGAACAGCCTCTTGGTGGGAACGAAGTGGTAGAGCATGAGGCAAGTGACAGATGGCTCCTGAGTCCAAAAACCCCCTTACTTGTCTACTCGGCCCGGATGCCTCCCAGCCACGTACAACAGTCTCACCTCTGACAGTCTCCTGGGCCTCCATTGTGAAGCCTCTTGTCCTCCATAGCACCAGTTATGCAAACCTCAGACACACAATTGTTAACACACCTAGCTTTCCTTTTCCACTTACATGTCACTACACTCATGTATAGCTCTCCTTTCTAAAGCTCTCCACTTCTTTCCAGACAGAATATCCACCTTTGCAAAACCATTAGCTGACTTCCTGATGCATGCACTCGAGTATGCTTGCAAATTTAAGTCAAAGTGTTACCTCACTAAATTGCTTCCTGAAGATTCCTGCAAGAAGCATGGCAGGAGGGAACCTAATCCTCTCTCTACAGAGTTTAGTTTGTGGGGGAAATAGCGAAGCTCTCTCTGAGGCAGTCCTATACCCTCAGGGCAGGAAGCCATGGAGAAAATGAAGATGGGTGTAAATTTAATTCCCTTCCCTCTGTTAGTGTTTACTTTGGTCCATGTGGAAACCTAAGGATATTGTGTGATACCAGGTTGTGTTTTTTATAGCAGGGTACCCTGTAAAAAGGAGGAGAGGCAAGGGAAGAGACTGGTCAACAGTCTTCATGAATTGCCTACTTACTGAATTGCAGGTCACAGAGAATTTGAATTCGGACCCTTTACTTGGACTCTGCCAGTGTCCCCTCTGCCAGCTAGACTGTGGGAGTCGGGAGCAGCTGATTGCTCACGTATACCAGGTATGACGTGGAGAGCTACGTGCTCTGGAACTCGAGTGCCAGCAGCTGGTTTAGCTCCCAAAGGAACCTTGGTGGTTGCTCTCATCATTAAGACTCCATTCCAGTCCTTAGAGCATTTTGGAGAATAAGTGGAATATTTGGGTAAATATTTTCTGGGGTTCCCAGACAGATATACTATGAAAATTAACTACTATTTTTTAAAAATTACTTAATGCATATTTTAAATAGTGGAATAGAAACTAACATCTATGAATAATGAGAACTTTGTTTTAAAGATTTTATTTATTTATTTAGTCAGAGGGGAAGGAAAGAAGAAAGAGAGGAAGAGAAACATCAATGTGTGGTTGTCTCTTGTGTGTCTGTCCCCTACTGGGGACCTGGCCTGTAACCCATACATTTGCCCAGACTGGGACTTGAACCTGCGACCCTTTGGTTCTCAGGCTGGCACTCAGTCCAGTGAGTCACACCAGCCAGGGCAAAGGCTTTGTTTTAAAGAAGAAAAAAATGAGTTAACATAAACGTTTCTGAAATACTGGAGAAAGTTAGTGTAAATTAGGGGATCAGGATAAGATAGACTTTTGTGTTCTTTTTCCCCTGATCCAGTCACAGAACCTCTGTGCCTTGTGAAGCCGTACTGAGAAGACATCAGCACTCACAGCAGCCTGGGTTATAGCGAAAAGATACTTTATGAGGAGATGCATTTCTTCCAAAGACTGTTTTTAAAAGATTGAAGGAAAGGCAGGACACTTAACTACCTTTTGGATACCAGTCTCCCCAGTTAGCTTCCAGACTGGCCCTCGCTCCCTTCCCACGGACTGGTCCCTGCACAATGTGAGGCAGGCAGGCAGAGAAATTATCCCGAGCATGTACTCCTCGCGGGCCTGAAGACGGCTCTGGAGCTCCACTGTTCATCAGTTTGGCCACATGGCCCAGAATGTGGTCAGAAGTCAGACTAATGAAATGTGAGCAATGGTCTGAATGGCTGGGCCCTTCAGAAAGCCCATTAACACGGAGACTTTTACTTTCCCAGATGCTAAACAGGGAGAATAGTCCCAAGTCCCTTGTTTTCTGAGACTGAGGGAAGGGGTTATGTCCCAGAAAGTAGTTCCTGTGTGGGTGTAGATTGTCTTGGGGGTGGTGTGAGGTGACAGATTAAAGCTCTGTTTTACAGCACACTGCAGCGGTTGTGAGCGCCAAGAGCTATATGTGTCCTGTCTGTGGCCGGGCCCTGAGCTCCCCCGGATCATTGGGTCGCCACCTCTTAATCCACTCGGAGGACCAGAGGTCTAACTGTGCTGTGTGTGGAGCCCGTTTCACCAGCCATGCCACGTTTAACAGGTTAGCCGGGCGCCTGACCCTCTGGTGTTGGGAACAAATTACCGGGGGTGGGTCTGCTTTCCCAAGTCAAAGTAAAGGCTAGAGATCGTTAATGCAAAGGCAACTGATTCTTGACTCTTTGGAAATACAAATAATGAGGCCAGTAAAGCCCATTCCATTAGCTATCCCCAAAGGAAAATTAATTCCCATTTCTTTTCCCTATCAGAATAATATTTTCATCTAGAAAGAGATGTAGGGAAGTACAAGAACATTCGTGATAAGCATGGAGAAAGAAGTTACAGGGCTGAGAGGGCCCTAATGTGAGGACATAGCCTCTGCTGTGTCTCAGGAAGACTGGAGCGCTGTCATTGTGGCCTAGTCTGGTTTGCTAGTGTACAGTGCAGAGTTGCCCATGGCAGGAGGCAGCTGGGCCAGTAAACTGCACATCCTGAAGGCAGGACTACCCCCTTCCACAGCACAACTGCCCTGCACAGCTCTGACCAAACACCACCATTCTGGCTTGAGTGAAAAGGGCTCCTTGTAGGAGCTTGTCTGGTTTCTAGTAGCTTGCTGTGGCAGTTGGTTCGGTCTCTAACTCCAGGTGGGCTTTAAAACTTGCTACACACCCTAGCTCAAAGAAGAGCAGGGGTAGAGAAAAAGAAGTCTCCTAAGCACTCAAACTGACCACTAGTGGTGAACTTGGAGCAACTGGCCTAGTAGAACAAGAGTAAGTCAGAACACCTGTGCCTTGCTAGAAGGTGACACTAACCATCCAAAATTGTTGCTTTCCAGCGAGAAACTTCCTGAAGTACTTAATATGGAATCCCTACCCCCAGCCCACAGTGAGGGCCCCTCCAGTGCTGAGGGGAAGGACATTGCCTTTAGTCCTCCAGTGTATCCTGCTGGAATTCTGCTTGTGTGCAACAACTGTGCTGCCTACCGTAAGCTACTGGAAGCCCAGACCCCCAGCGTGCGCAAGTGGGCCCTTCGTCGACAAAATGAGCCTTTGGAAGTACGCCTGCAGCGGCTGGAACGAGAGCGCACAGCCAAGAAGAGCCGGCGTGACAATGAGACCCCTGAGGAGCGGGAGGTAAGGCGCATGAGGGACCGTGAGGCCAAGCGCCTACAGCGCATGCAGGAGACAGATGAGCAGCGGGCACGCCGGCTGCAGCGGGATCGAGAGGCCATGAGGCTGAAGCGGGCCAATGAAACCCCGGAGAAGCGGCAGGCCCGGCTCATCCGGGAGCGCGAGGCCAAGAGGCTCAAGAGGAGGCTGGAGAAAATGGACATGATGTTGCGAGCTCAGTTCGGCCAGGACCCTTCTGCCATGGCAGCCTTAGCAGCTGAAATGAACTTCTTCCAGCTACCTGTGAGTGGGGTGGAGTTGGACAGCCAGCTCCTGGGCAAGATGGCCTTTGAGGAGCAGAACAGCAGCTCTCTGCACTGAATCACAAACACCCTCCTGCCTGCCCTCCTGCTCACTCAAGCCGGATCGGTGCTGCAGCCACCCACAGGGCCATGTCTTTGCTGCCAGAGGAAGGCCCAGGTTTGTTGCAGGTGGACCTGTGCACCCCTTGCATGTCAGAGCAGGATGATGGGGTCAGGAGGGACCCAGCTCAAGGCTGGACCAGGGAGCAGGCACTCCAGAGAACTGGACTCCTCAGCCCACTGCTGCAGGGCATGTTGTAGGACTGTGGGGCCCCAGGGTGGCCCACACAAATAAATTAATTTTATCATTAGTGGCCCTTTCCTGCTTTTCTCTCAATTTCATTCTAGCAAACAAAGGGATCTGGGAGAAACCCAGGCGGAAGTTTTCGGGCAGTGATTTCTAGGGGTTGTCCTTTACAGAGGGAGGGTGCACTCAAGTTAGGCTCTCCAAGCAAAGATCCCTAGGTATCTGGGCCTTAACAAGTTGATGAGACCCAAGGGCTATTAAAACCTAGCCGACATTTTCCAAACTCAGTAGATGCCTTTCCTCATAACTGGCATTTTTTAAAAATATATTTTATTGATTATGCTATTACGGTTATCCCATTTTCCCCCCTTCACTCCCCTTCACCCTGCACACCCCCTCCCACCTGTATTCCCCCACTTTAGTTCATGTCCATGGGTCATACATATAAGTTCTTTAGCTTCTATATTCCCCATACTGTTCTTACCCTTCCCCTGTCTATTTTGTACCTACTGTCTATGCTACTTATTCTCTGTACCTTTTCTCCCTCTCTCCCTCTTCCATTCCCCTGTTGTTAACCCTCCATGTGATCTCCATTTCTATGGTTCTGTTCTTGTTCTAGTTGTTTGCTTAGTTTTTGTTTTAGGTGTGGTTGTTAATAATTGTGAGTTTGCTGTCATTTTACTGTACATGTTTTTGATCTTTTTCTTAGATAAGTCCCGTTAACATTTCATATAATAAGGGCTTGGTGATGATGAACTCCTTTAACTTAACCTTATCTGAGAAGCGCTTTATCTGCCCTTCCATTCTAATTGAGAGTTTTGCTGGATAGAGCAATCTTGGCTATAGGTCGTTGCCTTTCATGACTTGGGATACTTCTTTCCAGTCCCTTCTTGCCTGCAAGGTCTTTTTTGAGAAATCAGCTGACAGTCTGATGGGAACTCCTTTGTAGGTGACTGTCCTTTTGTCTTGTTACTTTTAAGATTCTCTCCTCTGTAATCTTGGCTAAGATAATTTATGATGTGCCTTGATCTGTGCTTCCTTGGGTCCAACTTCTTTGGGACTCTCTGAGCTTCCTGGATTTCCTGGAAGTCTATTTCCTTTGCCAGATTGGGGAAGTTCTCCTTTATTATTTGCTCAAATAAGTTTTCCACTTGCTCCTCTTCCCCTTCTGGTACCCCTATAATTCGGATGTTGGAATGTTTGAAGATGTCCTGGAGGTCCCTAAGCCTCTTCTCATTTTTTTGAATTCATGTTTCTTCATTCTTTTCTGATTGGATGTTTCTTTCTTCCTTCTGGTCCACTCCATTGATTTGAGTCACAGTTTCCTTCCCATCACTACTTTTTTCTTTATTTCCCTGTACATTCTCCATTTCACTTCATTTTTTCATCTAATTTGCAACCAAATTCAACCAGTTCTGTGAGCTTCCTGATTGCCAGTGTTTTGAACTCTGCATCTGATAGGTTGGCTATCTCTTTGTCACTTAGTTGTATTTTTCTGGAGCTTTGATTTATTCTTTTGTTTGGGCCATTTTTTTTGTCTTGACGCACCTGTTACCTATGAGGGGCAGGTGTTCACCTTAGGTGTTCACCAGGGCGGGGCAACCTAGTTGTATTATGATGCTGTATGTAGGGGAGGGGTCAGAGCAAAATGGCCTTTGCTTTCCTCTCTGCCAGATTTCAGTCACTTCCCCCACTTCCTCCAGGCAAACCGGGTCCTTCTGGTGCTGATTCCTGTGTGGGTTGGTTGATGTACATTCTAGGACCCCGTGGATCTCTCCAATGAACTCTTCTGTGAGGCTGGGAGTCTCTCCCGGCACCTCAACCCCCACAGGTGTGTGTGTGTGTATATATATATATACATATTTTAACATAGTCAATTTTATTCTTAAACCACAAAATATAGTCTGGTTGTACAAACATCCCTAGTTACAGTCTTGCCGAGAGGTCCCAGCTGGGATGCGGTGAGGGGGGCAGTTAGTCAGCAGCCAGAACTCCTGAGGAGTCGCTTTAAAACACTAACACTCAGGTTAAAAGACTTGGGGCAAGGATGGTGCTGGAGCCCCACAGGTGTTTTCAATCGGTGTTTTGAGGCTTTATTTCCCCGAGCTGGGACCCTCGGTTGCACAGTCTGTCCCACTCCCCAGCTTCGCCTGGTTTATCTGTGCACGAACGTGGGACCGCCTGGTCTGCTAGCCACCTTGTGCGCTGTGCCCCTCCACAATCTGCTGCCTCACTGGGGTCTGTGTGCTGCCACCTTGCAGCCCCGAGGATCCGCCAGCCGCCACTTCTTTGCCGCAGCCCCTCTCTGCTCAGCTGCCCAACTCTGCCCCCTCCTACATGTCTGGATGAATGTGTCTACTTTAACTCCTTGGTTATTGGAGTTAGTACTAGTTGTTTTTTTGTTTCTAAATTGTTGTCCTTATTTTGGTTGTACAAGGAGGCACAGTGTGTCTACCTACGCCTCCATCTTGGCCGGAAGTCTAACTGGCATCTTTTTAAAAGTTGTTTCATACTACTTTATTTAGGGGGGACTCCATTTTCACTCAGTAGACTTTATGCATCTCTCATGTTTCTTCACTCATTAACTCATCTAATTCTGCAGGCTTACTCAGTGTCATCTTGACCAGCCAACCATCTTCATAACAAGACTTGTTGACAAGTTCTGGATTTTCTGCAAGGGCTTCATTAATTTCAGTTACTTCACCTGATAGAGGAGAATTGATTTCACTAGCAGCTTTCTTTCACACTTTCCAAAGCAACTTCTTTAATTTTGTCTGCCAATTTCAGGCAGACTACAGTAAACATCTCCTAAAACTCCCTGTGGAAAATTACTGATTCCTAGTGGTCTAATATCATTAGTTATCCATTCATGTTTCTCTGTGAATTTACATACAGAGACCAGACTGGGCCTGGTGCAAAGCACTGGCCTCATGCCCCAGGGCCTGGGCAGGCAGGAGAGTGCAGACAGGAGTGTGTATCGTGGTAAAACTCTGTGGCCACGATGCAAACTGGCATCTTCTAAAGAGTCTATGCTATTTAGACTAGGTGCTATTTTTCTGGGCAGGATTCAGTTTGTCAAACTTTTAAATTTCTATCCCAGAGAGCAGACAGCTGCACTTAGGAATACATTCATAGAAATAGTTGAAATATTAAGGTCCACAGCATCAAGGAACTCATGTTTGAGAGAAGAAATTCACCTTTTTACTTACTTCCCAGAGCCAAAGTAGGATAATCCAGAGTTAAGGTGATACGAGAGCTCGAGCCAGCAGTGGTGAAGGCTAGCACAAAGCGACTACTCTGTATGGTTGCCAAACTGTGGAGGAGACAAGGGCTGAGGTCATTTCTATAAAGCTTCTGTGATGGTACAGAACAAGCACAGAACTTTCCTTAGCCTGCACCAAAGGTTGTGTACAGTTTAGATAATTATAGATCTTCAGGTCCAGAAGGAAGTGCCCTAGTTAAGTTGTAGCCAGAAAAATAACTATGCCAGAAATGTGGACCTCTTCCAATATCACGACAAGGAAACTTGGACTCTTCTCTGACCTCCATTGGTTCAAGGTTATTTAATAGCATTATCGGATCCCCACCCTCAACCACGAAACTAGGGTTGATTCTTTCCTGATAGACTGAAATATTTCTGTTGTGAAAAATACAAACATTTCAATCAGCTTATTATGAAGTTCTGCACATTTAAAAGAAAGTAGTTAAATCGAATGCCTCTCTCTTACATACTTCCTTCCCGAAGGCCTACTTGGGGTCCTTCAAAATGGTGGTGCACTCACTACACGTCAAAGATTATTCTGAGCACTTTACATGGATTATTTCATTTAACTTTCTGAACTGTTAGACTTAGGAGTTAGATGCCTGGATTTAAAATTCTGCACTGCTATTTAATAGCTGTGCTACTTCAGGCAAGTTATTTGACCTCCATCTTGGTTTCCCCACCCATAAAATATAACTACTAGCAACAAATGATTGTTAATATATAATGCACTTAGGACAGTTTGTGGCACACAGTAAATGCTCAGTAAGTCCATCTTGTAACTGAGTGGCAAGCTTTCTGAGTTAGAAGCAGTAACTATCATTGAAACTGACTTATTTCAGCAATTTCTGACATTATTCCTGAGGAAAGAAAAATGGGAGACAAGGCCACCAATGAAGACATCTTCAAATCCTTTTCATCAACTACACTACTATCTACAGGTGGCCTACAGGTAGGCTTCTGGGTCTCTGAAATACACAGCAACAAAATGTGCAGACCATGCTCCAGGACTAGCTCACACAACCTGCCTGGAGTTGGTCACACAGCGACGGGTACCATGTGGTCTCTGTTACAAGCTTGCCCACGGAGGGCTTCTTCTCACCCCCACCCAACGGCCCTCTAAGGCTGGGACAGGAAAAAGGCGCAAACACCAAAAGGAAAAGCTAGTAGTTTATATAGATAGATATATAGATATATAGATATTGATATATAGTTTACATAGTCCACAAGTTAAATGCAGGTATCCATAAGAAGAGCATTAACAATAAAAATACAATCTGTGTGTAGCCAAGTACAGAGACTTAAAATGGTAAAACAGCAAAAAGGATCTCACAAAAATACAAATATACAGTACAAATTGATTTATTTAAAACAGTTACAAAAAAGCACAACAAAATAGAGATTATCCTTAGAATTATTAATGCTTTGTTAAAGATCAGGTAGGATTAGAGGGTAAGAAATGGTATGGGTGGGGGGAGCACCTGACTAGTTCTAAGGCTTTAGATACAATGCAGTTGATTACATATTAATTCAGCCATTACATACTGGGGATGGTAGTTGGGGGTCAGTAATTTATCTACAGGGAACTCCTACACCAATCAGATCCATCTAGACCTCCCCAGTGATCCTTCTCTATTCCTCGGGACCCTAAAGCCAATTGGATGACATTCCCATCCTCCTTTCTCCACCCCATTCCCTATCCATGTTTCCCTCCCCTAAGGTGCTGTGCAAGCTGAGAGCAGTCTGCTCTCTGCAGCTGGAACATACACTGTTTTGGCTACAGGGATCCTATACGTGACTAG